AATTAAGGGCAAAAATGGGTAGAAAAATCAGATTATCCGATAATGTTTTAATAACACCCCCTAACAAGATAATTAAATTATCCCCCACATTACCAACAGTAAACACTGTTTACAATAAAAGATTACTGTAATATTTTATTACTTGTAAACCAAACACAGGAATCTTGCAAAATAAATGAAGATTACCTCCATTATCTTATATACACCCAATCCAAACGGCCCCTTAATGTATAGTTAGTAACATCGATTTAGATAAAACAAAAAAAGCAGTATATAATAAAATTATTAAATTTTAATATAGGATAAGTATAGTTTTCAATATGGTCAGTATGAAACTATAATAAAATAAATATTTATTATTTGGGATTTTGTTTTGAAGATGGGATGGAGATGACCATTCCTATTGAGATAGAAAATCAATTGAATTTCATAACACAAACCAACTTGTTATTTTAACATACAAAACTATAATTTAAAGTCAACAATACCACAAAATTTATTAATTAATAATGGGGATGAGAAAAATTTAATATTTTATTAATTTTTTGAAAAAGAGGTATCTTCACTATAATGCCGAAAAATGGTTATGACATACAGACCATACCAATTTGACACCTGATTAGGAGTAGACGCACTTCACTTACGTATGATAGTAAAACTTTTCTTCTCAAAATGTCAGCTTTGTTGTGTGCAATATAAGTTTTTAGTCCATGGCTTTCTAGCGACATATGGTATTATTCAGTTTGTGATTCAAGTTCTAGACACTTGAAAAATACTGCCTCTAGAGAACAGGGTAAACCTAATACTTTTTGTTACCATTAACTAGCATTGTAAATTATTCACTGGAAAAAAAGGTATATTATTATTTATTCTTAAGATTTTCTCACAAACACAAGTGATTAAAATAGAGCAACAGAAAACAACACCGCAAATGGAAATATGGGGTAATAAATTGCCAATCAATTAAAATGAAGTAAGAATGTTCTTAGTTCTATACACAAATTCCCCCTTAAATCATTGGATTCTCTAATATAAAAATAGAACAATCAAGAAATAAATGGCTATACATTATGACACAAATGGGGTTTATTCTGGGATAATACTAGCTTACTACAGAGGCATTAATCAAATGTATTACACCTCATGGCTGTCAATTACTTTGCTTTCTATTGAATGCATCAAACTCCACAAATTCATTGATGTTCTTATCAGAGTCCCTCCTTCGCTAATGGCTTCTTCTGGCCGACTTCTCCATTACTAGCATTCCTCTTAATTGCTTCGCTTCTCTCCCTTCATCACTTCCTTCAAACAATTGACAAATTCTTTTTCCTCACTATCCTTTTCACCTCCTTAGCTCTAACTCCACCTCCCAATTTTCCTCCACATACTTGGCGTCAGGCAGCTGATCAGCCATTGCGGCATGCCCACCATTGGCACGCCGAGGCTCAGCCCTTCAAGCGTCGAGTTCCACCCGCAATGTGTCACGAAGCAACCCACTGCTTCGTGTGCCAACACTTCCAGTGGTTGCACCATGTACGACAGACATTTTCTTTTGTGGACTCTGTGAACCCACCTGGCATTTGTCAGATTGGGATTCTCTGATGACCCAAAGGAAATACAAATTGCTTTCTTTCAATCCCAAAGCAATCTCTTCCATCTGTTTTTGTTGTCAGTGAGACCATGCTCCAAAAGAGATGTACACACTGATTGCTTTGGCTTTGTTTCCAGCCACTCAATGCACTCTTCTCTAAACGGCTTACAGACTCGATCCATATCCTCTGTCACCTTTGATCCGCCCGTCCAAGTATGCCGATGGCATCGGACCTATCAACTTCCCCGGCCATAGATCTGATACGTTCTCGCCTCCTTCATTTTAACATATAAAAACAAACACTATCAGATTTCAACCGTATACAAAATTTAATATGATTTATGAGTTAAAATGATAACTGGCATTCTAATTCTTCAAAAGTATTACACATATCCAATCAGCCTTCTCCAAGTTCGAGAACTGACTGAGTTTCATGGTTAAATACGCGGGTAACTTTCTGGAAACTACAAAAGTGGGAAGTCAGAGAAGTTAAACGGAGGCAACCCGGGTATCGACAACGGAGTGTCTCCGGCTTTACAGGTAGAGTCAATAAGCCATGGTGTATACGACAGAAAATGGCGCAAACAGTAGCTGAATTCGTAAAGAACGCAGCTCCATACAAGCCTGTTGCTTGGCAACATCAAGAGCCCAAGGCAGAAACGAGTCATACACAATGCAAGTAACAGGGGTAGTAGAGTTTTCATATTTTAATGAGTTGAGACAAAGTTTTTGAGCCATTTGTAGCAAAAGACTTCAGGAAAAAGTCTCGTTTTTAGCTTGAGCAAACCCCTTCATCGAAACATCGGAGATGGGCTCAACTTGGACTTGCGGTGCACAAATGGATTGACGGTGTACTGGGTGGGGGCTAATGTAGCTTCAAGCCTTTAGAGACCAAACGTTTTGCAAATTGAAGAAGAGGATTTATATGGCCTTGGCTTGGATATGGAACCAAAATTACGTGGCTTCTGTATTCCTTCATGACTAATTTTTTGTCTTCAATCTCAGTGATGTGAAGCTCCATTGCTACCGGCATGCCCACCCTCATTTAGTGGAGATGAAGTAAATTTTTCCTAATGAGTGAGCGAACGACATTTACCCACCACCCAAGGTTTACCGAATTTACAAGTTTCCACCATGGATTCTTCTTATTTATATTATAAAACGTTTGATATACAATCAAACTTTTCTATAGTCATAATGGTGAGACTAACTAATTTTATTATATAAAAAAGTTATAACTTAATAGAAAATCTTTAATTATAAAACCGTTTGATATACGGTAAAATTTTTCTATAGTTGTAATGATGAGATTAATTAATTTTATTACTATAAGAGATTATAACTTAATAGAGGTATAACTACAAAAATTATAGTTTGTATTTCTAGTTTTCACCTATGGATTCCATCTATATTATAAAAACCGTTTGATATAATGTGTTTGATATAATTGTGAAAGGGTGTTCGAGTCTTTTTATCCAACGCTAATCTTTCTTTTAACTTGTTGAATGTTTGGCCGATTTCTGGCGCCCCCTGACCCTCTCTCCACCCCACCCCACTAACCACGCCCACACCCTGGTGGGCAATGCCCCGCGCTCCAGTGACGCAAATATGTGGTTCCAGGCGCTGCGGCAACAATTAAAGCTGACAATTGAGACGCTGCATTTAGTCAAACATTATTGGAATTTTATTTGGTATGAGTAGACTTTAAGAAGCAGATTGCTTGATAATTTTGGGTTTTTTTTTTTTTTTTGAAAAGTCATACTTAATTAGAAAGAGTAATATTATACAGAAACAATTGAAGCCAATTTAGCTGGCAGCTACAAATTTGCAAGAAATGGTTTTATAATCAGAAAACATGGTTTTCTGCTTTTGTTTTTCTATTTTTCGAATCCGTTTCTGAAGGGTCTGATACAATCTCACCAGGCCAGACTATTTCCAAAAACAAGACGTTAATCTCTACAAGTGTAATATTTGAACTGGGTTTTCTTCACTCCAGGGAACTCTTGCCACTTGTTTGGGTGTCGTGGTTTGCTAATTTGATGGTTTGGGACGGAGATGGTGGTGAAGAAAGCAGATGAGGCAGATATAGGGATGAAGAAAAGGTCGTTGAAATAAATGGAAAGTATATGGTTATCTTTTAATTCTACGGGTTAAAAAGGTAAATTATTAATTTATTTGTCAAGGGTAATTTGATAATAGCAGTGTTTATACTGAAAAATGTTAAGATTGGAATTTACGAAATAATAGGTGAAAACTTGCAGATTGAGGTGGTGTTAATTTAAGGATGGGACTGGAATATAGAAACCATGGGTGGAAACGTGGATACATGTCGTGTACTCTTCATTGAAATATTGAACTTAACTAACGTCTCCAACTTGATACATAAATGATAAACCATCATTTCAATTCAGAAGATTTCTTCCAGTTTCACCCATTCTTCAATGCCCCTTGTCAAAGAATTTATAGAGGACAACCCGCCTTGATAGCCAGTCATGGTTCAATCGGTCTAATCAGTCAGATCATGGTTCAATAGCCTAATCATGGACATCGGTTGGATTGGTGACATCATCATACATAATGACGTAATACATTTTTAAAAAACATTTTTAAACCACACAATAATATGTTTTCTTTGTTTCCTTATACATGAACCCCTTTTATATCTAACATATTCCTTTTCTGGTTCTCTTTTTAATCATTTGTACATATGCTTAAAATAAGATCAATCACAGCCCTCCGTTTCAGTATCTTTTTTCCTTTGTTTTTTCCCACATCAACTTTGCTTTTTAGTGTTCTTTTTTAAGATTTCGGTGGTGGTTAAACCAAGTATATAATGTAGTGGATATGGTTGATGAGATCGATTGATGAAGAAGAAAGAAGGCTAACTGCATGAGAAACCAAGTATATAATCGATTGATCATGCAACATACTGTCGTCATAAGTCCTTATTCCATCAACAAACATACAATAGAAGTAAAACATAAACATTCAAGTACAGAATTCAAATACATTATCTGGATTATCTACATGATAATTTGGTTAAGCAATATTGCAAATTATAATTTGGATTATCTACATGATGATTTTGGTTAAAGCAATTATGCACATACAAACTTCAAATACATAATTTGGATATCTACATGATGATAATTTTACTTCTATCAATTTCGTCCCGATCTCATGGTTCCAAACCAAACTTCAAATTAAAGGATTATCTACATGATAATTTTGGTTAAAGCAATATTTGATATCTGGAAAGAAAAAACAAAATTAGGAGCAGGAGCATGGTGAATAATCATCATAATCTGGAAATACATGCAATACACATAATCTGGAAATACATGCACATACACATTGCTCCAGATAAAGTTTGCAACGAAATCATTTGATTATGAAGCTGGATTGAGGAATGGCGTGTTATTATCTGGATCGAGGATGGAGCTGTCGTCAACGAATGAGCTACGCGCGTAGATTCCAGTGGGAACGGAGTTGCGTCGTCGATTTCCGGCGAGGGAGGAAGACGAGTCGTCGTTTCAGAGAGTTCAGATGCGATTTGGGTGGGATTTCAAAGAGAAATCTTCGTAGAGAACAGACAACAGAGACGAAGTTGATAATTTTTCGCAGAGAAGAGAAGAAGCTGAGAATTTTTCGTAAGAAACTGAGAGAGACTGAAAGAGAAGAACTGAACGCGATGAGAAGGCTGGTGCCGCGTATTAGGTTTAGGGATTTTAATTGGACGGTTTATCCGTCGGTCCGTGTGGACCGGCGGTTTGATGAAATTATCCAGTTTTCAAACAGTTTAAAGCGGTCTATGCATTATAACGGTTTTAAGGTTGACTTAAACCGGACACGTGACCGGTTCCCGGTCCACTGTTGACCGACCGGTCCGGTCCGGTTTTAAAACAATGAATATTGTCTAGGAAACCAATCACTGAAATTTTCTTTTGTTTTATTTGGATTTCAAAATAAGTTATTAAAAAATATAGGCAAAATTATTGAATTTTTAATCAATTTCCTCTATAAGAAACTATCAATTACTCGATAATAAATGCTTAAAAGTCAATATAAAATATTCCAAGCAAATACACTCATTTGGACTTTGGAGGGCAAAATGATCAAATATCTTACTAAATACTAATACACACTTAAATTGTAAATGCAATTGAAAGAAATATGAAAAATTATATCTACATTTTTATGAGAACATAATTAATAAATTATGTTTAATAATAATGTAATATAAATAAATGAATAATGCAATTGTGTGTGTGATTTTTCCACAAACTCGATGAGTTGAGAGGCATTAGATAAACTCATAATCAGCCCGACTCTATCGGTTGTCGCCCAGCATACTCTCATCAACAAATAGCTGACCTAGCACAAGCTAGTCGCGAACAATCTAAATGATCATTTAATCGATCCCAGATAACTTCATATCCTAGATATTACGAGAGTTATCAGATAACAGCAATTTCTGCACAATCACAACGCCCAATCGAAAAATATCGGAGTATATTTCAATCAACTATAATCCCTTATTTTCGCTATTTTCTTGTACAAACATTGTATAAAACCCTTCAATGATGAAAAAAAGGTTTAGAAATTACATAGAACTATTATTGTAAGCTCCATAACAAATACAAGAACAATGGACGTAGGAGTCGAGAGTTTACCCGCGGATCCTTTGTTATGGGAGACCAAAGAAATAAAATGTAGATGCCAAGAATGATAATCTAGTCTTCTTAGAATCAATGTCTGCTACAAGCTATCAAGTCTCCTCTGAAATCTCTAAAGCTTTTATTTTAAATAATGCAAAACCTTATACGCACTTCTTATCATTACCCAAACAGTAAGTTTTCTGATGCAACATTTTGGACTAGTTTCTCTTACCAATCTTTCCCCTCTTAGGGGGTGTGATCTGTGATATTATAATGACTAGCAACTTTTCTGAGAGTCCTGAACTCTACACTGTTCTTGTTGCTAAACTTCTTTTGCCACAAAATCTGTATTTCAGCGGAGCTAAATCTATAATTTGTTGTTCTTGCTCCAGGCAGACTTTGCTACTTCTGCGGTAGACTTTTTGCATAGGGTTGGTCGCACAGCTCGGGCTGGTCAATATGGACTTGTCACTAGCCTTTACACTGAATCGAACCAGGATCTTGTTGATGCAATTCGTCAAGCAGGAAAACTGGGTCAGCCTGTGGTAATGTGCTGTTTCCAATCACCTGTTTTGATGAGAATCTTTTAAACCATATTAAAGGGAAATAATGACTTCTCTAATTTATGTAAAATGATTTTGTTTTTATGGTAGTAATTTCCCCTCTACAAAGGTATGGCATACTGCACTAAGTGCAGAACAAAGTTTGACTAATGATTAATCATGCATTAGGTGATTAACAATTACCATACATGCCCATTTTGGTTGTTGACCTGTGCCTTCCAGTTGGTCATTGAATTGTTTTCTTATGGGTTCAGGAAACAGCATTCAGCCGAAAAAGAAGCTTTCGAAACAAGCTTAAGAAGAGAGGTAAAGCTTTTAATTGTCTGCCAAACATTTTACATTTTAAGTCTTAAATCTTAAAACAGTGTGAAAGCAGCATTTTAAATGGATCAAATTTTTTGTAGTCAATAGTTGAAAATTACTGTCTTATTGATTTTTGTGTCAAGTGGAGCAGTACATATTGGTTACTATAATAAATTTGAACTGAGATGTAGCTTTTCATATTTTAGCAGGTTCCAGCAAAGTTAGAGGCACATCAACTGTTGAAATGGTGACAGTTTAAGGAACTTGGTACTTAAAGGAGTATACATCCCTTGGGTTTTCAAGTTTTTCTTTCATGTAGTAATGTATATGTCAATGATATTGTACTTGTTCCGTTAAGTTGATACATAATGCTTACATGCTAGAAAGTGAAAGGCACCAGAGCTCGCTATCCTTTTCCCTCTTTTATTTTTGTCTGGGTGCTTTCTGCCTCTACGTATCCAAAATTTTTTATTCTTTTCATCTGAAAGTAATTGTGATCAAATATTTGGACGCTAAACCTTTCATTCAGTGCTGGTTGAGTGGGCTGTAGCAACCTTAGCTGGAAAAACTGAGAATCATTGAACTATTACATACGAGTGGTTCTCATATATTTTGATCATAGCTAGGAGCCAAAATTTACCTGAACCAATCCTTTTTTCTTTCTCATCTCCGAGATTGGCTCTCAATTGCACAGGACAGAACCTCAAATGAATGAACAAGTTTATTTTGGTTGAAATCAATAAGAATCTGTAGGGGGAATAATTAGGGTTGAAATGTGCAAATAAAAATGAAAGTGGATGTGACTCTGAGAATCTTGGCATTGGGACCGCGCAGATCCTGTGGGTCTAGAGATGAAGAAATTGAGGGTGGGACGTTAGTAGACCCTTGAAGAATGGTGTTTTATAATCTGGAAGCTACTGGAAGCTGATTGATGAGAGTATAGTTTAATTTAGAAGACGTAAGGATGAGTGATTGAGATGACGATGTTAGTGTGAAATCAGACCATGAAATCCTGTGGCTGTTTCAGCCTCCAATTGTAGTATACTTCTTGATGTCTTGTTTGCAATTTGAGAGAGGTGAAATCTGATACAATTCAACTTTAGATAAGATTTGAATTGGATTAATATTTCATGATTTGAACTTTTATAATATATTAGGTGAATTACATTCTGATGAGTTTTAGTTATCCAGGACTCTTTAATTTTTATCTAAGTAGTATGGTGTGTTTTAAATAACAGATTAAAAGTATGGTTGGTAGTATCTTACGATACGATTCGATATAGATTGTCAACGATACGTATCAGAGAATATATTATAAATCTTTCGATACGTTAATATATATCCTACGATAGATACGTATTCATTCATACATTTAAAAATATCGATACAAATCAATACAACTTTATTAATTTGGCTCAAAAGCTTAAAAAACTTTTTGGGTTGGATCTGGGTCATCCAACTCGGTTCACTCAAATCTACCCAAATTTACTCATTTTGCAAGGAGAAAGTGAAAAGGCAGATGTGTTGCCTATTTTGCATGATAATAATAACACAGGTGGAGATATAGATATTAACATTAATCTTGGAAATGATATAAATGATTTAGAGGAAATGATATAAATTCTTAATTTTGTGATTAATTTTGATTATGTAATACCATAATTTAAAGGAGTAATGCTACATGTACACCACTTATTACATCATTTTCATTACACTATCACCATTTTACTAATAATTATTTTATTATAATGTTAAAAATTCAAAATAATTAAATATTTGTGTGGATGTAGGATATACCACGTCATAGTATAATAAAAATGATATAATGAGTGGTGTAAATGTAACATTACTTAATTTAAAGTCAATAATACCACTGAATTTTTTAATTAAAAATTTAATATTTTATTAATTTTTTGAAAAAGTTGTATCTTACAATATATAATTCGAAATACATACACGATTTGACACGTAGCCGCACTTCACTTACGTATGATAGTAGAACTTTTCTTCTCAAAATGTCAGCTTCTTTGTGCGCTTCACCTGTCACCAACTGCAAACATAAATGTTTTTAGTCCATGGCTTTCTAGCTGTACATATGGTATTATTCATGTTTGTTATTCAAGTTCTAGACACTTGAAAAATACTGCCTCTAGAGAACACGTAAACCTAATACTTTTTGTTACCATTAATGCTATTAACTAGCATTGTTAAATGTTATTCACTCCAAAGAAAAGGTATATTATTATTTATTCTTAAGATTTTCTCACAAACACAAAGAGATTAAAATAAGAGCAACAGAAAACAATACCGCAAATGGAAATATGGGGTAATAAATTGCCAATCAATTTAAAATGAAGTAAGAATGTTCTTAGTTCTATACACAAATTCCCCCTTAAATCATTGGATTCTCTAATATAAAAATAGAACAATCAAGAAAATAAATGGCTATACATTATGACACAAATGGGGTTTTATTTCTGGGATAATACTAGCTTACTACAGAGGCATTAATCAATTTGTATTACACCTCATGGCTGTCCAATTACTTTGCTTTCCCATTTGAACGCATCAAACTCTCCACAAATTCATTGATGTTCTTATCAGAGCTCCCTCCTTCGCTAATGGCTTCTTCTGCCGACTTTTTCCACTTACTAGCATTCCTCTTAATTGCTTCGCTTCTCTCCCCTTCCATCACTTCCTTCAAACACTTGACAAATTCTTCTTTCCTCACTATCCCTTTTTCATCCTCCTTAGCTCTAACTCCCACCTCCCAATTTTCCTCCACATACTTGGCGTCAGGCAGCTGATCAGCCCATTGCGGCATGCCCACCATTGGCACGCCGAGGCTCAGCCCTTCAAGCGTCGAGTTCCACCCGCAATGTGTCACGAAGCAACCCACTGCTTCGTGTGCCAACACTTCCAGTTGGTTGCACCATGTCACGACTAGACCCTTTTCTTTTGTGGACTCTGTGAACCCATCTGGCATTTTGTCAGATTGGGATTCTCTGATGACCCAAAGGAAATACAAATTGCTTTCTTTCAATCCCAAAGCAATCTCTTCCATCTGTTTTGTTGTCAGTGAGACCATGCTGCCAAAAGAGATGTACACCACTGATTGCTTTGGCTTTGTTTCCAGCCACTCAATGCACTCTACTCTAAACGGCTTCCACAGACTCGATCCATATCCTCTGTCACCTTTGATCCGCCCGTCCAAGTATGCCGATGGCACCATCGGACCTATCAACTTTCCCGGCCATAGATCTGATACGCTTCTCGCCTCCTGTTCATTTTAAAATATAAAAACAAACACTATCAGATTTCAACCGTATACAAAATTTAATATGATTTATGAGTTAAAAATGATACCTGGCATTCTAATTCTTCAAAAGTATTACACAATATCCAATCAGCCTTCTCCAAGTTCGAGAACTGACTGACTTTCATGGTTAAATACGCCGGGTAACTTTCTGGAAACCTTACAAAAGTGGGCAAGTCAGAGAAGTTAAACGGAGGCAACCCAGGTATTGACAACGGAGTGTCTTCCGGCTTTACAGGTAGAGTCAATAAGCCATGGTGTATACGACAGAAAATGGCGCAAACAGCAGCTGAATTCGTAAAGAACGCAGCTCCATACAAGCCATGTTGCTTGGCAACATCAAGAGCCCAAGGCAGAAACGAGTCATACACAATGCAAGTAACAGGGGTAGTAGAGTTTTCATATTTTTTAATGAGTTGAGACAAAGTTTTTGAGCCATTTGTAGCAAAAGACTTAAGGAAAAAGTCCTCGTTTTTAGCTTGAGCAAACCCACCTTCATCGAAACCATCGGAGATGGGCTCAACTTGGACGTGCGGTGCACAAATGGACTTGACGGTGTACTGGGTGGTGGCTAATGTAGCCTTCACGCCTTTACAGACCAAACGTTTTGCAAATTGAAGAAGAGGATTTATATGGCCTTGGCTGGGATATGGAACCAAAATTACGTGGCTTCTGTATTCCTTCATGACTAATTTTTTTGTCTTTCAATCTCAGTGATGTGAAGCTCCATTGCTGCCGTGCATGCCCACCCTTATTTATAGTGGAGATGAAGTAAATTTTTTCCTAATGAGTGCGAGCGACATTTACCCACCCAAGGTTTACCGAATTAACAAGTTTCCATCTTTATATTATAAAAAATTTTATACAGTATAATGTGATAAAAAATAAATAAAAAAATAAATTTAATAAGTTTAACTTTTTGTTTTATTCCTTCATTCATTTTTTATTACCTCACTTTGTACGTAAATCTTTTTAAATATAGTGTTATTGTTGATATAATTGTCAAATGTGCTAATCTTTCTTTTAACTGGTTGAATGTTTGGCCGATTTGTGGCGCCCCTGACCCCCTCTCACACCCCACCCCACCTAACCACCGCCGACACAATCCAAAAACCAGACGTTAAATCTCTACAAGTGTAATCTTTCTCTTGTTTCTGTTTTTCGAATCCGTTTCTCTGAAGGGTCTGATACAATCCAAAAACCAGACGTTAAATCTCTACAAGTGTAATATTTGAACTGGGTTTCTTCACTCCAGGGAACTCTTGCAACTACTAAGTCTACTATATTGGCATATGGTACAAATCATTTCCCCTTGCGCGATTGCCACTTGTTTGGGTGGTCGTGGTTGCAAATTTGATGGTGGTGAAGAATAGCAGATTGAGGCAGATATAGGGATGAAGAAAAGGTGGTTGAAATAAATTGAAAGTAATATGGTTATCTTTTAATTCTACGGGTTAAAAAGGTAAATTATTAATTTATTTGTCAAGGGTAATTTGATAATAGCACTGTTTATACTGAAAAATTGTTAAGTTCTGGAATTTACGAAATAATAGGTGAAAACTTGCAGATTGATGGGTAGATGGTGGTGTTAATTCAAGGATGGGACCTGAAATTTATGAAACGGTGGGGACACGTCAGTGTTAATTTAAGGATGTGACCTGGAATATATGAAACCATGGGTGGATACATGTCGTGTACCCTTCAATTGAAATTATTGAACATAACCTAACGTCTCCAACTTGATAAACCATCCTTTCAATTCAGAAGATTTCTTCCACGTTTCACCCATTCTTCAGTGCCCCTTGTCAAAAGAATTTATCTTCGCTTTCGTGTTTTTAAAATTAATTAACTATTGGCAAAATTTATTGAATTTTTAATCAATTTCCTCTCATAAGAAACTATTCAATTACTCGATAATAAAATGCTTAAAAAGTTCATTTATAAATATTCCAAGCAAATACACTCATTTGGACTTTGGAGGGCAAAATGATCCAAATATCTTACTAAATACTAATACGCAAATTACTATTGTAAATGCAATTGAAAGAAATATGAAAAATACATATCTACATTTTTTATGAGACAAAAATTAATAAAATTAATGTTTAATAAATAATGTTAATATTAAATAAACGAATAATGTAATTGTTGTTTGTGATTTTCCATCAAGCTTGATGAGTTGAGAGGTATTAGATAGATTCAAAATTAGTCTGACTCTATCGATTGTCCGACCCAGCATAAGCTCGTCAACAAATAGCTCGACCTAGCACAAGCTAGTCACAAACAATCCAAATGATCATTTAATCGATTTCCAGATAACTTCAGATCCTAGATATTATGAGAGTGATCAGATTAACAGCAATCTCTGCACAATCACAGCGCCCAATCGTAAAAATATCGGAGTTATATTTCAAATCAACTCTAATCCCTTTATTTTTGCTATTTTCTTTGTACAAATATTGTATATAAACCCCCTCAAATGATTAAAAAAAGGGTTAGAAATTTTTCATAGAACTATTATTGTAAGCTCCCACAGCAAATACAAGAACAATGGAGGTAGGCTTGAGAGTTTACCTCGCTGAACCACTTTAAAAATCTTATTGTCACTTACTTTATTGCATTTTATAATTTATCCCCCGCTGATTATATGTAATCACGCTCACATCTGTTCTGATTCCACCAAGGTCAATCAGATTTCTTTGATTGGTGCGAATTTTCGTATCAACAAGAATTATAACAAGTATTTAAAATTTATGTTTCACAAAGATTTTATATTACTAGTAAGGAATAAATATACTACACAAAAAAGGAAATTTTGACCCAAAAAAAATAATATTAATATGGAGCACGAATAGGAAACTATTAATTTGTAACACAAATAAGGAAACGTTAACAAGGAGATAATAATAATAAAAAATAATATTGACATGGGAAAAAATAAGGGAAATTTGAAGAAAATTATCATTATGAGACAAAAATAAGGAAAATGTTGTTGTAATACGGAACAAAAATAGGGAGAATTTAAACAAAAAACATTTGTAGTATATATATATAGGGGCGGATCCAGAAATCTTTATTAGGGTGAGCCAAACAAAAATTTTTAGTTCTAAAATTGAGAGTGGGCCTCAATTTTTTAATATTTGACAATAAAAATTAAGGGTGGGCCAAAGTCAAACTAAATGGAATAATGTATTTAATTTTTGTTTTTTAAAAATTGAGGTGGGTCATATAAACTTTGGATCCGCCCTATATATATATAAATATATATATATTATATATATATATATATATATATTATATATATATAGAGAGAAGAGAGAGAGAGAGAGGGGAATGAGGAATTTTTTTTTTTTAAAAAAAAAAACGTTATATGGAACAAATACAGGAATTTAACAAATATATATCTATTAATCTGTTCCCCAAATAAGAGAAAAAAAAGTATAGTACACAAATAAGAGAAGTTTAACCCAAAAGTATAATAATAAGGAAAATTTAAGAAAAAGTATCAATATGTCCAGGAAAATATAAGAAAGAAATATTAAGGAAAATTTAAAAATAATAATAAAATAAGGAAAATGTAAGAAAACATTTTATCATGGGACACAAAAAGGTAATTTTTTAACAAAACAAATAAGGATTAAACAACTAATTTGAATAAAAGGACATAAAATTAAAATATTTAATTTATTATTATTGCCAAAATAATCAAAGGTGGTAAAAGGTATGTCGTGCTGATTAGGTTTTCCTAATTTTTAATGAATATTTTATTTTGTATATAACTTTAACTATTAGGGGACGTTTAGATCATATAATGTTTTATTATAGAGGTATATTATATTAACGGAAAGAAAGATCACCTTGAAGATTATTGGGAATGTTTAGAAAATGTGTTTAGTTTGTTCGAATAAATTGGTGAATAATATGTTTGGTTTGGAGGATAAATTGGTGGGTATGTTATATAGATTACTAAATTGCCCTCCTTTTTAAATATTAATATAATAATATTTTTTATTATTATATTTTGAATCATTTCTTTTAACTCTCTACATTTGAAATTTTGCTAAAACACTCCGCCATATAAAATTTTAATTAGTAGCAAAATCACCCCCACCAGCCCAAACCACTGTCGGTAGCCAACCACCACCATCGGTCGTCACCGATAGTTGACGGAATGGCGCACGACTAGCCCTATATGGTCGACCATGCGTTGACAAAGCCGGAAACGACCATGGATCACAACTCCATGACCGGAATTTGGCTAGATCTATGGCCATTTCACGGCCAAATTTGTGGTCGTTTCACAGTCAGATCTTTGACTGTGAAATGGCCATAGAAACGCTAGATCTGGTCGTTTCTGCCATAGATCTGTGATCCATGGCTAGAAAAGGTCTGACTGGCACACGACCGGTCAGATCCAGATAGTCGTACACCATTACGGCGACTGACGCCGATTGCCGGCAGTGGTGAGTCACAACCGGCGATGGTCTTAGATGGCTAGGGGTATTTTGTTTACTTTTAAACTTTTTTGTTGCTGGGGTGTTTTAGCTAATTCTCAAATGTAGGGGACTGGGTAATTGTTATTTGGTAGACATTTGAGGGTAATTGTGTCCAAAATGGTTTTTAATTAAGGGCAAAAATGGGTAGAAAAATTAGATTACCCGATAATGTTTTAATAACACCCCCTAACAAGGTAATAAAATTATCCCCGATATTACCAACAGTAAACATTGTTTACAATAAAATATTACTGTAATATTTTGTTACTTACAAACCAAACACAAGAATCTTGCAAAATAAATGAAGATTACCTCCATTATCTTATATACACCCGATCCAAACGGTCCCTTAATATATAGTTAGTAACATCGATTTAGATAAAACAAAAAAGCAGTATATAATAAAATTATTAAATTTTAATATAGGATAAGTATAGTTTTCAATATGGTCAGCATGAATTATAATAAAATAAATATTTATTATTTGGGATTTTGTTTTGAAGATGGGATGGAGATGACCATTCCTATTGAGATAGAACATTGATGGCATGATAGAGAATGAGAATGGACATATCAAAATGACAACTACACTTTGCTTTTGATTTTCATGAATATTGTTTTTTTTTTTATAGGAATGTTTTAAGTTTTATGTTAGAATAATAGTATACACAAAAGCCAATTCATTAGATAATGATGAATTATAAATGTTACATACTTTTATATATAAAAGAAAAAAAAAAAAAAAACTTTATAGGTGTAAAAGTACTTATCAAGTTATAGAAAGTGAGAAAATAACAACGTAACTTAAGAAAAGTAGTCAAATTCAAATGCATGCCTGTTTTCAAATTCAACTCAATTTACTTCTTATATATATATATATATATAGAGTTAATGAAACTTTCTCTAATAAATTCCTTAATTTAAAAGTAAATAAATAAATTCGCTTTAAATTTACACCTACTTGATAGTGTTTAAAAACAAAGGAATTCAAAAGATGCAGATAGTTGGCAGCATCGGGAATGAAAATTAAGATAAGATATAGAGAGAGAAATTGAACTTGATTGTTAATACAGTAGCTCTCAAACATGATACACCACATCAACTAATTACCAATCTAATATAAAAACACACATCCATCTACCTAGCAGAAACATTCAACTCTAACTTGGGATTAATTTGTTGATGAGAAAAGATAGGCTTATTGTTGATGGAGACGGGTGATTAAGGGCACTTTGTCTTGTTGCCATGAGTAGTCATGTCAGTATAGCATCTTCCACACTTCTCTCGGTTACCAGAGGTGCCAGGAGGAACACAGTTGCACCTCTTACAGCATGTCCCGCACGCTCTTGTGCAAACCTTTTGCCTTGAATGCAACCGGCACCTTCCCTTGCACAACCCTGCACAATCTGCAACAACAATAATATAAATATTACCATTACTAATTAATTAATATAAAACTCTAAACGCTAAAACGGATATTAGTTTCTCAAAAATATATATAAACCTAAGAATGTCAAGAACCCTCTTTTAGCTCCTTTGACCTCCTGGATGTTTTTTTCTTCAATCTTGACATCAGATGAAACCTGCAACCACAACTAGTATGTTAAGACAGGGACCTCAACCTGAACCTGCCTTTCGTTGTATGGATTTTTATATTTCCTTATGAAAATTAATGAAAGAAAGATCCAAAGAGTTTCATGCAATAGCCTAATTTTTTTTCCCCCTTATGTTGTTTTGTTTTCTTTAAAACATGCAACATGTTAAAATACAAGATTATTCTCTATACTAATGTACCTGGGCTATGCATAAGAGCAATACTGTAGCCAGAAGGACGAAGCGTAACGCCATTTGGTGTAATGTACTGGTACTTCTACTTCTACTAAAGAGTTAGCAATGCTTTGCAATTTACAGGATTAGAGAACTCGTGGTGTTTAATTTATAGGCAGGCGTTTCTTCGTAAGACAATTACAGAATGACCCAACTACTTTGCAATTTTCTACACACACCTTCGCGACGGCGAGAATAGTTTGTTTTCTATATATTGCGCATGCACATAGTTCATGGCAGGTTTAATGTTTCATCCATCATCTTTCATAAGTAAATCGAATGCGATATGTCTTATTTGACTATGACATAAATTACAAGAAAATGTACCGTGCGTCCCATTAGCTAGCTAAATCTTTTACTAGAAAGAATTCGTGTTGTATGTATGAACATTATGTATGGAGCATCAGAAAAGGCCAAAACAATCATCCATGGATTGAGGGACATGCGTCCATTTTGTAAATATTCAAAGATTATAAAATATTAAGAGGTGATATTGGCAATGCGGTAAAGCTGTATCCCATCGGAGCCAAAAGTTGAGTTGCACAGACATTAAACATTGTCGTTATCTGATTATGAAGAAAGGAATTGAAGTAATTTTAGGTTTATATATAAGAGAAACAATCAAGTTCAGTTCATTAATTTCATCATATTTATATGATTACATGATTCATCCTTATCTGCCGAGGAACAGTCAGAAGAAGACGACGAAATGGCAATGGCAGAAGGTTGGATAGAGGAGAAAAAGAGACGTGACAGTCATTCTTAAAGGGAGAGATGAGTGATAGCAGAAATAGCGTAGTGTCCTCTAATATTGAGCTGGACAAGGGACATCTATGTTCGTTTTATATCTCCATGCATGTATTAATCCTATCTCCTTCCCCAGCCACAATAATACTTTCACAAACTGACACCTCACACTCACCCGCTAGCTGGAAGATTACAACTCTCTCTGTATAGTGGATACGTAATAATAAAACACGTCATATAAATTTTATGCATCAATCAACGTTATTCAAAATTTTAATGAAACCCTTTTGCTTGATATACTTTAAAACGTTTTCTTTCCCTTAATTCATTAACCCCATTGGACGGTCTTAAGTGGGTGAATTGCATCTTGATTATGTTAATCATTCCACATAAATGATTCCATGTACTTGGATAAGCGTAACACTGGCTGGCATTATTTCCGAAGGCGACCAGAGGCCGTGTAAGATAAGTCCATAACTCAAGTAACAACAAGAGCGCTGATTTCAAAGACAGCTAGGCAGGACATGAATATTGAAGACCCCAACAGCAACCAACCTTTATGCGGTGCAAATGAAATTAGGTAGGCGTTCCCAATACGGCAGGCATTAGGCATCGAGTAGAGATGCCACTTGTGATTCATGAAGTCATGACACCAGTTATTAACATGCCTCTGTATTGGCTTTTGTATATATGACGTCCACATTCATATATAAATATGCCCAGCACCCACCCGCCAACTAATACACACTGAATCACATGTTTGGCCTCTTTACCACCACCACCACCACAAATAGAGTAACGATTATGATTAACACCGGCTAATCAGTCTAAATAATGAAGGCATTGAACCATCAAGTATGAACATGACTCATGAGTAGAACATTACCACATAAATCATCACAGTAATTAAGAAAACACTTCGTTGACTACTGTCCTCCAATTCAGTTAGCCACTGCATTAACATGGATTGGAGAGTAAAAGTAAGAAACCTGACATCAAACGTTTGGATGGCTACCGAGTTAGGTTCAAAATTAGGATATTTAAATGTCACAAAAAATGGATCCAAATGCTTAAATGGTGCTCACACTGACAGGAGAAGAGAAAGTTTTGGAAGAGTTGTAAAAGTTCTAACTTCAAACAGCAAGTGCTATTCAGATTATGTGCAAGCCTCTATTACCATCAAAGCAAACAGGAACAATAAACAACTTAACTCTCCACAGTAATCATCCTTGTCTCTTACAGTCACTCAATAGCTTAAGCAGGAATACTTCATCTCATATATCTCTGACGTATCAAAATAAATTAAATTCTTCTTCTGGTCAGCTTGACTAGTATACACAGACGATAAATTAAAATAGTATGTCCATTCGCTTATCGGTATCAATTGTTAACAAGGTCAGCATGCAATTTTAGAATCTCTATAACTACATTAGACATGCTAGAATAATTCCAGCATATAAGATCCCAACCAAAGCATTATAATGCAGGGACAACTGCAAAATGCTCACTGACTTAGTCCAGAAGCCAATAGACTAAGTTAACCAAACCAGGAACTCATGAGCATAGTTACCTTCACACATGACATTTAAAGAATAATGGAACTTCTCACAATCATAATCAAGAAGATAATGAGCAGACTGACAGAGGAGAAGCTGAGAAAACAATCTCAAACTCTACCAATAAAGAACAAAAAATTTCAAGAAAAATCATAAAAATATTATTGTAAAGCTAACTACAATTCCTCAATGTCAAAATTCCATATTTTCCTCAGGTAGTGGATGTTAGTAAGACCACCTGTATCTAACTTGAAAGATAGAGTTTACTTTGCCGGCACAAGAATAAACAAAAAGAATGGGACCTGTTCTAATACATAACCATAAACTACTTTTCACTATGTGAATAATCTCCTAGAAAAAAATGTTGACTTCTTTCTCACTCATTTCAAATACATGATCTCTTGCATCTGTGAGAGCACTCTGCATGACATAAAAACTTCCATTATGAAACTTATGCACCAAGAATGAACAGAAAATACCAACGTGAAAGGTGTTGCATAATATATATTTGATCAAAGACTAAAAAAAGAAGCATTTACCTGTCCAAATTTTGTAAGGAAGTTATTGCTAAGGTTTAGAGATGTGACTGCCACATCTTCATTGGCCTTGAGTGCTTGAGCAATAGCAAAAGCCCCATCATCCTGTGTACAAACCCAACATGAGAAGGATACTGTTGCTTTGAAAATGAAATTTTTTTCGTGAAAAAAAAAAAAAAAAAAAAGTAAGTGAAAAACATATTTTACCCTTATTTCATTAAATGCTAAATCAAGTGATGTCAAAGCTTCATTGACCACTTTAAAGCTGCGAGCCAGGCACTTTGCACCCTGCAAAGAATCAATGCACAATGGAGAAAGTGACATAATATGTAAAGTGGCCCAAAACAAGAAAAAGAGATTACTATCAGTTAGGAACGAACTTCATCTCTAAGTCCATTAGCCCGCAAGTCTAGAACAGATATGGTGGTATTATATCTCAACATGTCTGCAACAGACTCTGCACCATTTGCTCCAATCTGCAAGCACTTTCATGTCATAAGTGTAAAACAAAATTCATGAAATAGACAAGAGAGGCTCACAAACACAGACTCACCTGACACCAACCGAGCTTTAGGGTGTTTATGTTTCCGTGGAACTTTAGAACTTCTGATAAAGCCTTTACGCCATCAGTTCCAATGGGATTATAAGAAAGATCCAACTGTGTGAGTGTGTGAGAGAGAGAGAGAGAGAGACAGAGAGAGAGAGAGGAACTGCATCATCATGTCTAAAATAATAAATTATACCAACAAAATATATCAAAATGATAGTAGAGGAGTTACACTTGTAATGATTGAATTATCTTTCAAAATTTGGGCCAGTTCACTTGCCCCTTTGGCATGTATGTTATTTCCCCCCTGTAATATATTCACCATTTTGCTCCCTCAGATATGGTTTGTTAAAGACCCCTAAAAAGCAATTGAAAGATACAAATACAGTTAAGTAGAAAAGCAGATTCATCTCACCAAGTCTATGGTGGTTATTGATCGATTCTGCTTAAGGGCATCTGCAATCTTTTCAGCTCCCTGATAAATTGTCAGCAATTAATATCAATAAAGAAGTGCAAATCTACAGTTTTAAGTAATTTAATCTATCAGAATGTCAAATATATGAAGTTATGATTTTTTTTTTTCCTGAACAAGAAGCCTCCATATGAACTTCCTTACATCCAAATAAAATTCTGTCAAAACTCATTGCTCCCTGTTATTGCTGTCAATCCATCTCAAAGAAGTCTACATAAACTATACTAAACTTAAAATGATTAACGGCATACTCAAGAAACTTACAAACATAACGATTGAGAAAACTTATACCTCATCACCAATGTCATTCATGTAAAGATTCAGCCATAACACGCTCTTGCTGTTCTTGATATATTCTGCAACATGAAAGGCACCTTTTGCACTGATAGAATTATTGCCAAGGTCTAGAACTGCAATTTTCCCTGAAGTGCATGTAAACTATGTGAGACTAAGTGCAATACATTTGAATTGCAGACTATATAGTGAGAAACTTATGTAACTTTTAGTGTCAATTTGTTATAGCAAAATGTCGAACCTTTATGTGAAGATAAACCTGACATCAAAGCACGAACTCCCTCATCTCCAATGGAGTTTCCGTGAAGATGAAGTTCCTGTATAATTTAGCCATTAATTTCATAGCCTGTAAAATGAAATCAAGCTTGTTCACTGAATTTTCTATGTGATGTTCACACTTCCTGGTAAGATCGAAGTAGAGTTCACAGATTTGGACTGTCTTTATGGCTCAATAACTATAAATAATCTGTGGCTAAAGTGGGAGTCTTCATTCTTCATATTGATAAATGAACAAAAAGTATGCAAAACAACTATCTATTCTTCTGTTGTCAAGACTTAATCATATTAACAATGACAGACGACTCTCAATATTGCTTATCTACCAAACTCTCAATGTTCTCAATTACAGTATTCCTCCTAGATTAGAAATGCAGTTGCAAATTTAATATTGACTCCAAATATCATTCTTGTATTTTCAACCCAGTATCAAGGACTTCAAACCATCTCTTACCACGAAGTCAAGTAGCTTGTTTTTAATTTAAATTATGCAAAGCAACCAAAATTGCTTGGGTCAGTCTAGCTGTCGAGATACTTGGGATTCATTAAACATTTTTGCCCTTTGGAAGGGTAAAGAAAGCCAAGATCATGTGAAAATGTCCAGTACTGACCATATTTTGGGCAATTTAGCAAAAAAGAAACAGCCAAAATTTTTCTGATGAAAAAGAAGAGAAATC